GTATAGTAATTATATTAATGTTTTTTAAAACCCAGATTTTGTTTTGTCAAATGCCTGTTTTGGTAATATGTTTTCTGTTTTATTATTTCTGTTCTCTTTATTTCCTTATTCTACTCTTTTGGATTTAATTGCTCTCCTTTTTTGAGTTTTTCTGAGTCAGAAGTTTTGATTATTGATTTTAAACCTGTCTGAAATGACCTGTGATTTCTCTGGTCCACTTCATTTAGAAGTTTATTGTTTAATTTTTTAATCTTTGAGCTTTTAAAAAATTATTTTCAATTTAACTGCATGGTGTTCAGAAAATGTACTTTTTTTATTTTTGAGACAGAGTCTTAAGCTGTCACCCTGGGTAGAGTGCCGTGGCGTCACAGTTCACAGCAACCTCAGATTCTTGGGCTCAAGCAATTCTCTTGCCTCAGCCTCCCAAGTAGCTAGGACTACAGGCGCCGGCCACAACGTCTGGGCTGTTTTTTTGTTGCAGTTGTCATTGTTGTTTTAGCTGGCTTGGGCCAGGTTCAAGCCCGCCAGCGTCTGTGTATGCGTGACCGGTGCCCTACCCACAGAGCTATGGGTGCTGCCCTGAAAAATACTTTTTATTTATTTATTTATTTATTTTGAGACAGTGTCTCCTCTTGTTCTTCAGGCAAGAGTGCCCTGGCATCCGACTAGTTCACTGCAACCTCAAACTTGTGGCTTCAAGCGATCTTTCTGTCTCAGTCTCCTGAGTAGTGGGGACTACAGGCATCACCAGCACGCCAGGCTAATTTTTTCTAATTTTAGTAGAGATGAGATTTTGTTCTTGCTCAGGCTGTTCTCAAACTCCTGAGCTCAAGAGATGCTCCCACCTCAGCCTTCCAGAATGCTAGGATCACACACATGAGCCGCCATGCCCTGCTCAGAGAATGTATTTTTTACATATTATAAACAGATATATCCATATTATAATCATGTATATTAGAGGATATATTGTTTATGACTTCGGTCTTTTTATATCTATCTGTTGTGATTAGTTTTATGGCCTAGCCTAGGGTTTATTTTGATAAATGTTAGTTACATGTGCTTTAGAAGTCTTACATCCACTCAGTAATATTTTGAGGTTCTCAGTGTGGATACTTTGTATATCTTTAGTTAAATACAGCATAAACTGCAGTGTTGAGTTTAGTGTTCTCTAAATTACCAGTAGGTTAGATTGTTTGTTCTATTTGTTACTTATTACATTGAGATATAATTCATTTACCGTAAAGTCCACTGTGTTTGACAAGGTTGTACAATCATCACCACTGTCTATTCCAGGACATAGTCATCACCCCAAAATTAAAATTCGTACCACTTAGTGGTACTCACTGTCTGTCCGAAACCTCCAGCCTAACCTCTACTTTGTTTATAAATTTGCCTATTCTGGACATTACATAAGTGGAACCATACAATTCTTGGCCTTTGTGGCTGGGTTTTTATTTTTTTTTTATTTTTTTTTTTTTTTACTGAATATGATGTTTTCAAAGTCCATCCATGTTGTAGCATGTATATATTAAAGGCTGAATAATGATGTTTCATTGTATAGATACACCACATTTTGTTCATCTGTTTATCAGTTGCTATTTGTTTTTGGTTTTGTTTTTGTTACAGAGTCTCACTGTGTTGTCCTGGGTAGAGTGCTGTGGCGTCATAGCTCACAGCAACCTCAGACTCTCGGGCTTAAGTCATTCTCTTGCCTTAGCTTCCCAAGTAGCTGGGACTATAGGTGCCCAGCACAACACCCGGCCATTTTTTTGTTGCAATTGTCATTGTTGTTTAGCAGGCCCAGGCTGGGTTTGAACCTGCCTGCCTTGGTGTATGTGGCCCATGCCCTAACCACTGCACTGAGCTATGGGCACCAAGCCTATTGGATTATTTTCACTTTTGGCTATTGTGAGTAATGGTGTTACAAACATTTATGTGCAAGTTTTTGTGTTGTCATATGTTTTCATTTCTCCTAGGAGTGCAATTTTCTAGGTCATATGGTAATTTTCTGTTTACTCAATTTTGGAGGAACTGCCAAACTGTTTTCCAAAGTGGCCAAATCATGTTACATTCCCAGCATCAATGTATGAAGATTCCAATTTCTTGACACTCTTGTTGATACTTGTCCTTGTTGCCCATCTTTGCTGAGGGGCTCTGAGGTGTGCTTGTTGGGACACACCTTCAGCACCCTTACCAGGCTTCCAGCTCTGCAATAGCCTTCACTTCCTGCTTGTGCAGAGCTTCCTGTTCAGTCAGAGGCGATTGCCGAGGACCTTCTCAGATCCTTCTGAGCATGTTCTCAGCCTTGAACACCTGCCTCTGGCCTTCTCGAGTCTTAGGAATTTCTGAAGTTTTCAGAACTCTGTGGACATCTCATTCTCCTGTTTTTCCTTTTGTATTTTTTGGTTAGCTGAGTTAGCTTATTTTGTGCCCTGATACTTTAGGTAGCTGGAATGTTAAACAACTGTAGCTGATTGTTTTTGA